ACCAGAAATTTTGGGGCCCCTGACAAAGCACAAGGTCTGGGCAGAATGCAGAGTGTGTCAGTGTAGTGAATGCAGTGTGTGTGTGTTAGTGTAGTGAATGCAGAGTGTGTGTTAGTGTAGTGAATGCAGAGTGTGTGTTAGTGTAGTGAATGCAGTGTAGTGAATGCAGTGTGTGCGTTAGTGTAGTTAATGCAGAGTGTGTGTCAGTGTAGTTAATGCAGTGTGTGTGTCAGTGTAGTGAATGCAGAGTGTGTGTCAGTGTAGTGAATGCAGAGTGTGTGTCAGTGTAGTGAATGCAGTGTGTGTGTTAGTGTAGTGAATGCAGAGTGTGTGTCAGTGTAGTGAATGCAGAGTGTGTGTTAGTGTAATGAATGCAGAGTGTGTGTCAGTGTAGTGAATGCAGAGTGTGTGTCAGTGTAGTGAATGCAGAGTGTGTGTCAGTGTAATGAATGCAGAGTGTGTGTCAGTGTAATGAATGCATAGTGTGTGTCAGTGTAATGAATGCAGAGTGTGTGTCAGTGTAGTGAATGCAGTGTGTGTGTTAGTGTAGTGAATGCAGTGTGTGTGTTAGTGTAGTGAATGAAGTGTGTGTGTCAGTGTAGTGAGTGCAGAGTGTGTGTCAGTGTAGTGAGTGTAGAGTGTGTGTCAGTGTAGTGAATGCAGAGTGTGTGTTAGTGTAGTGAATGCAGAGTGTGTGTGTGTGTGTGTTTACTAGTGTATGCATGTAATGTAATAATGTAAATGTAAGCTGTTATTCCCCCCTCCCTGTTTCTTACCTGGTTCAGGGAGGGGGGAGATGACCCTGGTAGTCCGGTGGCATTGTGGGGCCCACCGGCTCCCTGTATTTGCAGAGGGGGCCCAGCGAACTGCAGCTGTACTTTACAGCATTTCCCTCTCTCTAACTCCCGCGAGTCGTGGTGTGCGCGCTGCGCGGTGCGTTGCCATGGTAAACCATAGCAACGCTCTAATGGCCGGACGTCTCCTGGGAGTTAGAGCGAGGGAAATGCTGTAAAGTACAGCTGCATTCTGCTGGGCCCCCTCTGCAAATACAGGGAGCCGGGGGCCCGCGGCTGCACCTATATATAGCGATCATTGCTATATATAGGTGCAGAGAGTAATTGTGGGGCCCTGGACTGCCAAAGCAGTCCGGGCCCCCAAGGACCGCCGGGCCCGTGAAAACCGTTATGGTTGTCACCCCCTGATGGCGGCCCTGGTGTGAGAGAGCCAGTCTGTAACTGTATGTGTGTGGCTGTCTGCTGGTACCTGTGTGTGTGTGTGAGACTGCAAGTAACTGTGCATATGTGAGTGTCATGGGAGTGACGAAAGGTGGATCCGAAAGATGTATTACCGAGCCTTAGAATGGCCGGACTTAATGTAAATATAGCGAGAATCAAGGTCAAGAATAAATCATCAATCAAGGTTAGGTATACAGAAATACACAAAGTCAAGACAAAGCCGGGTCAGGATACCAAAAATCATGAGTCAAATGCGAAGCTGAGGTCAGGATACCAGAAATCTCAAGTCAAATACGAAGCTGAGGTTAGGATACCAGAAATTTCAAGTCAAATACGAAGCTGAGGTCAAACACAGGAAATCACAAAAGAAACCTCTAAACGAGGATCTAACAGAAACCATGATAGGGCAATGAATGGGGGCTAAAATAAGCCTTAAATAGGCATAGCTATGTTCTGAGAGGTCCACATCATCACTGAGATCCAAAAGATTAGGATTCAGTCAGGCCGTGCGGCAGGAGGAGGTCTGCGCGGCTTGAGGGCTTGACAGTGTATGTCTGTAACTGTGCGGATCTGATGGTGGTACTGTGTGCATGTTGTGGCGGACAGCCTGGTACCTCCGCCAAACATGCTTCCTAGCTATTGCTGGGACACCATCAGCACTTCAGGCCCAGCTATCACCGAGAGCCCGCGCGGGAGGAGGGAGTCAGAGTAGGAACTCTGACTCCCACCAGCCTGAGCCACCTCTGGACCTCAGGGAAAGTCACCCTCTTGTACCTAAAAGGTAGGAAACAGGAGGGTGACTTAAACATTTTGTATATGTGTGTATGTGTTTGTCTATGTATATATGTGTGTCTCTGTATTTATGTCTGTATGTGTATATGTATGTGTGTCTTGTGTGTATGTATGTCTATCTGTATATGTATGTGTCTGTGAGTATGTATATGTGTGTCTGTGTGTATATATGTGTCTGTTGAGGGGGAGGTGGAGCATGGATCAGTTTTGCACCGGGGCCCCATGGATTGTGTGTATGCCACTGTTCAGGAGGTATAGAAGTGTGTAAAGATTGTGGCCAACTGTCCATCTAAGAAGTGCCAAGACTGCATGCATTTAAATCTTCACGTTATGGTTTGAGATGTACCTCCTTCTTTGAGTGAAAACAATTAACACTAAACTGTTTAAATCTTATGTAGTTGCTTGGACTGGGCTGCATTCTGATGTTGCCATTATTTGTGATTCTTGGGCTCTGAAAATGTGGATGTTGAAAACAATAGTGAGATTAGGATTAAAATGTGCCTAGGAAAATTTCAATAATTACATATATAAAGCAAGAGGTTTACCAAAGAGTGAGGGAAATGTCAGGTGAGAGAATTCTACTCAAAGTCATGATGTAAGTGATGAAAAAACAGTCTTACACATCTGACATGCTAGCCCAAAGCTAAGGACTAGCAGATGCAATATGTGCAAGTTCCCATTTTCCATTTTGTACCTTCGGCTATTTTCCCCTGCTGTGCTCTGTCTTCTGATAAGCAATAATATTTAGGGATTTTGTTCTGTTACGGTACCTTCAGTAATAAATGTACAAACCGCCGTTTAGTGAATTCTCCCCGTTCGCAATAATGTTGTCTGGTAGCGTATACAATACAAGCATGCGAACCGCCAGTCAGGGAACACTCCAAACTCCCGAACGGTACCCGTACAGCTCCTTCCCTTCACGAGCCCCAAATACACGAACTGCCAATATTAGCCGAACGCCAATATCTTCCAAGCGGCAAATAATTCCAAAGAGCAGTCTCTAGTCGCCGGTAATAAAATCCCCCCAATAACGAGACCAAGCTCCGCTTTGAGGGTAAAACACAAACTGAGTTTACTGTGGGCTACCTGCCCGTATTTATGCAGGTCTCCCACTTGGTGGACACTCCCCTAGGGGACCAAATGGGAGACTGGAATAGTAGATGGACATGGGGACATTTCAGACATACAATCCCACAATATTCCCAGCATGCATCACAGTTTCCTCCCCTCTGCTCGGGAGATAATTGAGAAGTAATTCAATTATCTCCCAGAGCAGAGGCAAATCGCCATTTTAAATACAAGTCACAAAACACATAAAAATATATAACTTTATAACTGCAGAACATATTACATTCGTGTAACACACGGTGTTCGGTTGAAAAAGTGTCCGTTTTCAGTTCCATGAAATAACCGTCGAACACTGCTGGTCTTTCGTATGGTTAAAATGGCCGCCGCCTCGTGGTCGACATACGAACGACGACCACCCTGTATTCGGTTTTAATTGAGAAGTGTCTGTGGTTAACCGCAACGTTCTAATTGGGATCAATAGGTTAACCAGCAGCACACTTCTCTTCTGGGTGGCCGTCCGTTCGACAGTTCCATTCGGCAGGAAAGTAGATTCATTTAAACAAGGCATACGAATGGGTAAATTCATGCAAACGGCAAAACAGATGAACACAGCAATGTTAGTTCGTAGTATAGCTCCTTCATTCCTTGGAATGTGGAGGAGATGGAAGACAATGCAAGGTATGGGACAGTAGGTCCAGAATTCTGCAGTCCTTTCCATCGTGAGATAGGTTGTGAAATTTTACTCCAATTATTAGGTGGAATTGGTGAGAATTATTTCAAAATATATGGTCCTGTGGGTCTCAGTAAGGAAAAGGTTGTGGTCCCACTCATGTAATGCAAAGCACTACAAGCCAGAAAAGGAATTCTGCAGATCTAAGACATGAGGGTCAGATCTAAGACCCTGACGGATGATGAATTATACATATATTAAATTTATAACACATATTTCCCAAGTCATAAAAATGTATGTTTAATTAGATGTAGAACTTGCCTCTGCGGCTGATATAGATCCACACCCTTTTGGCCTAGCGTATACTTCCTTATTAGTGTTGGACATTGTCCAATGAAATGGCCCTATGGTGAAGCATTGAGGAATATCCTACAGTCTAAAGCTGTTCATAGACATGGGTGGTTTCATTGAGATTAAGGAAATTGTATATAGAAATGTTATTGTAGTTCTTTATGTGTTCAAGTGACCTTATAAATATACATTTTTGTGTTCTTCAAAATGGTGACTCTCTATATAAAGCTATGATGGAAAATAATTGTTATCCTAACTATCCCTTGGCATCATATATATATATTTAAATATCCAATATCTCAGACAAAATGTCAAGTAGTATGACAGAAATGGTAGTGAACCAGGGGCGGGCAACTACTTGCACTATATTTGATGAGACATACATTTCCAACAGAGTGCCTAATGTTTTTTTTTTTCCCCCTTTGACTTCTGCACCGAGGAAGTGCGGAGATAATAAAAAAAAAAAACAGAACAAGTTTATGTTAACGAGTTTAACTTTGAAACTTTGTTGGTAGCTCACCCAGTCATGGGCAGCCTGTCTAAGGTAAATAATGTGAGCATGCTGGATTTAGATGCAAACACTTCATGAAACTGATACAGCTAACCAGGAAGAAAATATTCAAACTAGCTGACAGCCCAAAGAGATCATACTAAAACTTAGAACAAGAACAATGTATCTTATTTACACAGACTGATTTCTAAACACATTTATTGTAGTTTAAATACACATTACTGTCAGTGATATTGCGGTGGAGCTGTGCCATACACTTTGATACACCAATATGGAGCTTCTAGGGGAGCCCTTAGGATAGTAAAGAGTGACAATAGGATTGGGTACACTTTGTAGGTATGTGTCTTTGTATCATGCCATTGGCACGCTGATCATGAGCTCCAGTCCAGTCTATGAGCTGTTCGGTCATAGAGCAGCGCCGGTCACCTGGCTCAGCCAAACAGCCCAAGCAGGGCTGACTCCGTCGCACCTTGTGACGTCGCCCGGCAGCCACCGCTCTCATTCTGTCCTCCGACAGTAATTCCCCCCTCTTTGCCGAGCCTTTAACCATGACGTCACCGCTCCCCTGCTGCCTTCCCGCCGCGCTCGCTCTCGGCCCAGGCTGCGGGATTTAAAGGGGAAGTCCGCGCTGTCCACGGCCTCTCAGGGCCCCGTGCATCCCCGAACTTTCCTGGATGCGGTTAACCCGGAGAGGCAGCAGGGTGAGCGAGCTGATATACTATGTTAACACTGGGGAGGTGAGGCCAAGCTCAGTCCGTCCACAAGCCTTGGTTTGGTGTGTGAAGCTGTGCTGGGCCGTATGGCTGCTCTCCTCCTTGGGGAGGGGGGGGACACACGCTGCACAGAGCTCCCCCGGCCTGGGGCGCACACTGAGTGGGACACAGGCAGCCAGAGAGAGCCAGGCACCCCCTGCACTCAGAGCCAGGCACCCCCTGCACTCAGAGCCAGGCACCCCCTGCACTCAGAGTCAGGCACCCCCTGCACTCAGAGCCAGGCACCCGGTGTGGCTGCTGTGAGCTGCACTATAGCCATGTCAGTGCCACGTACAGCTTCAGCCCCATAGGGTGCTCACTGTGTGAGAGCTCAGCATAGTGTGATACATTGTGTCTAGGGCACTGATAATGCCAATCCAGCCATAGTACAGCTTTAGGGACTTGAACCTTCCCTCTCTGCATGTCTGTCTATCCATTGATGTGGATATACGTGTAATATGTGCCTGACTTTTTAAAAAAATTTTTTAACTTCAAGACAAGTAAATGACATACAACCATCTATCTCAAATCCAATCATAAATTGTAAACTCGTTTGAGCAGAGCCTTTCAATCCCTTTTTCTATAATTATAAATTGCTGCGGAATATGTTCGTGCTAGATGATGATGATGATAGAATGGTTAAAAAAAATAAAGAGATGACACCTATTGTATTGCATAGTAACCGTGCTAATTTAACTTATTCTCAGCAGGACAAACTCCTTAATGGATTTTGCACAGAAATTTTATTATTATTATTATTATTATTATTGACTTTTATATAGCGCCAACAGATTCCGTAGCATTTTACAATATTATGAGAGGGGGGATTTAGCTATAAATAGGACAATTACAAGAAAACTTACAGGAACAATAGGTTAAGGGGGACCCTGCTCAAACAAGCTTACAGTCTATTGGAGATGGGGTATAAAACTCATTAGGATAGGAAATGGCAATCATATAAGGTGGGAGTGAAGCATAGCTGGAGGAGAGCGTAAAGTGCTGCCATTTAGGAGAGAGCAAGAGACCAGTGTGTAAGGTGGGAGGCCATAAACTTTCCTAAAGAGATGGGGTTTAAGGCACTTCTTAAATTATTGAAGACTAGGGGAGAGTCTGGCGGTACGCAGGCTATTCCATAGGACGGGCGCCACCTGCAAGAAGTCTTGCAGGTGCGAGCAGCGGACAGGAGAAGATCACGGGCAGACTGTGTTAGAAAAATGTCTCTAACATAAAACCTAAAATGTATGTAAAGAATGTAAGTCTCTATTACAACCATAAATTATATGCAAAGTTTGTGTTATGTTTTCTGTAGGTCTTGTTAAAAAAGGCACAGGTCAGGTATTACAAACTCCGATAATGTTGCTTACATTTACCAGCCAGTCGCTACTTTCTTAAGTGCCTGTCCCTGCTATTATCAAGCAGTGGTTGTTTGCCAACTGGTAATTATCCTCTTTTTATTGAATTGGAATCATTGTTTGCCATTGAAGTTGGCTGCTTCCATAGAATATAATGGAGGTTTATTGGCAGACACTATTTCTCAAAGTTGACCCCTTGTATTTGCATGGAACACACACGCGTGAAAAAATGATGATGATGATGGTCTCACCCGCACAGAGCACATCGACCATCTATATTCTCATAATAAAAAGAAAACGAAAATATTAATTTAAAAGACCCCCTGGAACCCACAAATACTTGGATTGCATAGATGGGTGGCTCCAACTTTCTGTTAGCAGGGTGAAGTGTGTTAACAAGGCACAAGATAAATGGAGTTTCCTGGCTCCATTATATAAATATTGGGCATCTCTTCCCCCACTCCAAACCCACCTTGTGCTGGCAGGAAATGCCCATTCTCTTGAGCATTCATTACATGGAATGAGGGTTATTAAGCCCAGGAGAACGCCATATAAATAGGTATCTTCAGGCACAACTCCATGAGTGGCTAGGGATTCCCAGGGACCTAGCCACAACTCCAGAATATGTCCCTCTACACTACACATACTAATATCATTGTGGGTGGGCCCAAAAATTGTGATTGGATTAAAATAATCAATTTTCTGCCCCAAATGAGTATTCAAGGCTAAAGGGGTTCTTATACTTTTATATTCACTGTGATTCGTTGGCTTAGAAGCCATCCAATCAAGAATTGCTAGTTATTTTAGGGGATATCCTGGGGATCCCTGGGTGAGACTGTAAATGCCCATTTAGTTATTTTGGACCTGGATATTGGGTATCTTCTAGCCATATTTTATAAAGTGCACAATAGACTGGGAATTTCCTGGGCACCTTTATAACCTTTCTCTGTGGTACCAGTGGGGTGAACGATGGGGTTAGGTGCCACTCATCAAACCACTATCCTAGATTGTTAGGATACAGGATACCTCCTCTTTTCTTAAAGGGACACTATATGCACCAGAAGAAGGAAAGCTTATTGAATTTGTTCAGAGAAAATGCAGTGTTTACATTACAGCCTAGTGATAACTTCACTGGCCACTCCTTAGATGGCTGTTAGAGCTCCTTCCTGGGTCATGGCTGCCTAAAATGCATCCAAACATTCAGTATCTCCTCCCTCTCCATGCAGACACTGAACTTTCCTCATAGAGATTCATTGATTCAATTAATCTTTATGAGGAGATGCTGATTGGCAAATCATGCTGGCTCTGCCCCTGATCTGCCTCTTTGTCAGCCTCAGCCAATCCTATGGGGAAGCATTGTGATTGGATCAGGTTACCATTTCTGCTGATGTCAGCAGGTCTAATGGAACCGGGGACCAAGCAAGTAAGATTTTACTATATTTAGGGAGGCATGAGGGGGCCAGGGGAGCTAGATGGTGGTTTTAACCCTATAGTGTCAGGAATACATGTTTGTGTTCCTGACCCTATAGTGCACCTTTAATTTGTATCTATGCCTTTTTAGCTCCATAGTGTATTGTACAACATACTGAAAATGTTTGTGTTCTCTTTGACAGTCATTAAAAATATTTCTGGTGAAGTTACACCCTAAATCATAATTAACTTCAAGTACAGTGATTCAGGGACTGCATTATTAAGTGTGTACACCGTGCATGGGGGCAGATTGGGAGATTTTAGTTTGCTTTTATGGAGCTTGTGGCTTTGAAATGTCTTCTCTATTGAATGTGTCTCACGTCTAACCCTTCACCTCATTACACCATATTTATTTTAGAAAGAAAACTGTTTGCAAGTCACAAAGATACTAACACCTTGATTTATTTATGTATTTATTTATTTATTTTCCCCTTAGGATTTTTAAAAAAGGAGTTGTGAAGCTTCTGGCTTGTCGGACGACAGCAAGAACATTTTGCCATCTCTCTCCACAGTGTCCCTTAAAGGTCATTTTTTCTATTCAACAACAAACTTATCCCCTACTTCCTCAAAATAATTGTAACTTTAATTTTGTGTTGAGGGTTTCCAAGTGCCACAACATGGCAGAGCAGCGTTACTTGGTTGAATATGCGAAGCGTGGCACTGCGGGTTGCAAAAAATGTAAGGAGAAGATTGGAAAGGGCTTGGTACGCATCGGAAAAGTGGTTCCAAATCCTTTCAGTGAATCTGCAGGTGACATGAAAGAGTGGTACCATGTCAAGTGCATGTTTGAGAAACTTGAACGTGCAAGGGCAACTACTAAGAAGATAGATGATCTGACAGAACTAGAGGGTTGGCAAGAACTTCAGGACCCTGAGAGAGACCTAATTACCCAACACATTAAAGGTAAATGTTTTGTATTTCTACTTGAGGTCTGCAAACGTGATTCAAGTATTGAAGGCTTGAGGTGTATATGTGTCAATTGTTATGATACACTACTACTATGGGAAGCTTCTCTACTCGGCATACTGGCACTGGTCTTCAAATAGAATCAATAATGTAATCTATTTCTTTTGGGAGCCACTACTGGCTTTCTATGTGAAATCACAAGTTAGTCACCATACTGTAATTTCTAAGAAAAGATAATGTTTTCCATTTTACACTGTGTTTAACTCTAAAGCTGTAGTAGTATTATATATATGGCCAAAAGTCATTTCAATAAAGGGACTCCAGGCACCAGCCAGACCACTTCATTTCATTAAAGCGGTCTGGTTACAGTGTCCCTGCCTTGTTAACTCTGCAAATGAAAACATTGCCATTTTGCAAGGTTAACATGCCGCTAGTGACTGTCTTCCTGACTTTAGCATTAGGATTAGCCTTTAGTTTCTCTTTAATTCTAAAGCTGAAATATAGTCATAATGAAACTCTATTATTATTTTTTTTATTAAATGTTTCCAGAACTTGCTGCCAAAGCAGGTGCTACACCTAAGAAAAAGACTCCATCAAAGACGAATCAATCAACAGCTGCACAGGGATCAACGCCCAATAAGATGCCAGCAACCAGCCCTTCCCCTCTCAAGTTTTCTGGATTCACAGGTAAATTCGCATTTTACTCTTCAGTCTTCAACTAATCATTGTCATAATTTGTAGATTCTTCGTATGTCCAACTGTTGAATTGCTCTTCCTCATTAATGTTTTTTTGTCTAACTGTTAGATGTCTCAAGTTGCTGGATTACAACCCCTTGATTTCTGTGGATGGCAATTAATTATGATTGTTGTGGTTCTGTCTAGCACCTGCTTGAGTGAGGGCAAATGTTAGAGGCTCTCCTATCATAAAAACTAGACCAGTCAGTATGGTGTCTTTCATTTGTGCACTTCCTAAGTGCACTTATGAAGGGCCAATTACACAGCCTTACCAGGAAATGTGGATTGTAATGCAAGCGAAAAACCTATTTTGCCTTCTCCTAGTGAAATATCCTATTTGTTCTTTTGGGTAACGTTATGTGAATCCATCTCATTCAGAAATACATTTGAGTGTGTTATTCACTGATTTTTTTTATTTTATTTATTTTTTTATGTGGAAGGCTGGTCCAAGAAATCTGTAAAGTCCATTTTGTAACTAGTTTTCTTTTTAAATACATTTTCAGTCTTCTGGCCTACAAAATTACATTATTTTCTTATAAATAGACATACAGTCACGAGAAGAAAAAAAAAAGTACGCCCTCTTTGAATCCTATGGTTTTAAAGATCAGGTATTCACAATCATCTGTTCCTTTGTCTTAAAATTAGGTAAATACAACCTCAGATGAACACACACATGACATATTAGATATGTCCTGCATTAACAAAAATAAAGCCAAAATGGAGAAACCTCTACTCGACTGAAATGGTGTAGTATGGACCTTAAGAGAGCTGAGCATAAACAAATACCAGAAAACCTTAATGAACTGAAGCAACGTAAAGAAGAGTGGGCCAAAATTCCTCCACAGTGATGTGAGAGACTGATATTGTTATACAGAAAACAATTACTTCAGCAGTTATTGCTGCTAAATGTGGTTCTACGAGCTATTGAATCATAAGGTGCATGCAGTTTTTCACACACTTATTTTTCTAAAATAAATCTGGACACAGTGTCATATGTTGTTGTTCATCATCTGTGGTTGTATTTACATAATTTTAAGAGCTGCTAAGGAACAGATGATTGCTATTATATCGATATGTAAAACCAGAGACTTTAAATAAGGTGTACTTTCTTTTTCCCATGACTATACTTATACATATCTGGGCATCACGCAATTTGGAATTCTACCAACTCTAAGATTTTCATACTTTAGATGTTGTTGCCACTCTCGTAGTTGCACAAAATTCATCCTATAATTCCACATGTTGACCTATTTTTGCGGTTAATAAATAAAGGCTGATTTATATTTACCTTTTATTTGTTTTAGTAGATGATTAGTGGCTGCAAACATGAATTAACACTAACAAACTAAAAAAACAAAAACACAACACATAGAAGAGCTGTAAATTTACTATAAACAGAAGGGATTTATTGTAATTGTAAAACTGTGATGCCTCCTTCCTTGTGCTAGGTTTTTATGTGGGGGTTATTGTAGGATTTTTTTACATTTTGTTTAACCCCATTATCCTCAACAAATCTGAATTATGATATCTTGATCTTTAGGTGCCTGGAATTTCCAATAACCAACATTTTTATATATCTTTTCTTTACTCTATCTCTGGCAAAGTGAACTTGACGTATAACATTAATTTCTCTTTGCATTTTCTGTAATCCTCATTTACATACCATTTTTCTATTTTTTTTAAAAAATGTTTTTTTGTGTGTTTTAATTTTCTAAAGCAAAACCAGGTCAGTCTCCAGCCACACCCAGTTCTAGTAGTGGTTCAAGCATTTCAACTGCAAAATGCGATCCCACTCATAAGGACTGCCTACTGCGTGAGTTCCGTAAGCTGTGTGTAATGGTTGCAGACCAGTCAAGTTACAATACCAAGACCCAGATCATTCAGGACTTCTTGACCAAAGGCAGCGCTGGAGGTATGTGGATCAAGTAGTAGAATAAAATGAATAAACACATGTTGGAATACGTTCAAGATAAAAAATACATTTTAAAAAATATTTTTTTATTTTTTTTTTAAGTGCATATCTTACTCGTATTCAACTATATTTGCACAAAATGTTTCAGCACTATAATTCACATAATTTTGATGCTATAATTTGGCCCATATTATACAACTCAACTGTATCTTTAGTAAAACATTGATCTGTTATACCTTTTATGGATTGTAATTGAAGATCCTAATAATTTCTGGAAAGCATTGCAATCAAAGTGAAACATGTTTAGCAGAAACAAATTGTAACTGTAGGAAGGAAAGTTAATATTATCTGTTAACCAGACCTCTTGATCTTAAAGCACAGGGGCCATTTTTAGTGACTCCAAACTTTTTGATGAAGTAAGCATATTGCCTTTTAAATCCATAGAGGACACCACAGCTGAGCAGTTAAGCTCAGCCACAGTGATTATCTCACTGGATTTAGTGATTGGGAGTCTGAACAGACCCCAGAGGTTCCCCCTCCATTCCCCAATGACATTTTCATCTGTGCTGGGCGTTTTCAGTTGCCCAGCACCAATTGCAGTGAATTGGGCATACTAGATTCAATGAAAAAGATATGAAGCTGTCATACTACATGGCCGCAACATACCACTCTGTTTTAGCCTAGATCTCTCTTTGCCAATTTCAGTACTGATGTTAGCAGAGGGAAACCTTTTGTGATTAGGATTTAAATGGGGGTTAAGAAAATATTTTAAGATTAGGTTTATATTTAACATGGGTTTAGAATTTAATTTTACGATAATCCCTCTGCTGAAATCCACAACTAAATTCCTCTGCTGACTTCCGCAGAGGGAATCCTTCTAACACTATTTATGGGGATAGGATTGAGATTAGGCTTAAGGTTATAATTGGGTTTAGGTATAGAATTTGTGTATCAGTTGAGATTAACCCCTTAATGCCGTTACGGCGTTCTATGCCGTCCCCATTGTAATAAGTTTTAAAGCAGTTGTGGCGGCATAGAACGCCGTAACGGCTTTCTACCTCAGGATCCTCCAGATACTCACCTTCCCGGCGATCCGCTTCAGGAGGACTGCCTGACAGCCCAGGCAGCCCTCCACCAGCAAATAAGGCCCCCGGGGGCCATGTGATTGCTCTCAAAGAGCGATCATATGGGCCCCTATAGCTGGCTGTGGATCTGCCTGCAGGGGCACTGTCTGGGCTGTCAGACAGTCCCCCTGCTGGTGGGAAAGTTAAAAAAAAAATATATATATAATTTATTTTTTTTTCTCTCTATATCTCCACTTAGTCACAAACACTGGCCAAGTATTAGTTTTTTGCTTTTTTTTTTTCACACAAAAACAAACATGAGCGCTAACTTTGGCCCGTGTTTGTGACTAAGTGGCTACTAAAAATGACTGGACATATACCGCACTTGCAATACCTTGGGTTGTGTACTTTTGCAAATGGTATGCAATCATGGGGGTAATTCTCATTCCTGGGCTACCACACAGTCTCAAAGATAACATTACTAATCTGGCAAATTTTTATGTGGAAAAAAAAAATGAATAATGGAATGTGCTATATTTGACCCTGTAACTTTCCAAAACACTGTAAAAGTTGTTAAATCTGTTATTGACTCTGTCCTTGAGGGGATAAGGTGAGATTTATTATTAGATTTTTGAGTTGGATAAGGATTTAGACTGGTATTAAGTTTGTTACTTTGCAAATGGGGTATCATTTTACTCAGGAGATGTTTCTGAGTATAGATAAGATCCTTTTATTACAGTGAGACACATGCTATTTCAAAAGTAAACAGAAAACATGTGTATGTAAAAATGTTTACCACTTAATATTATGGGCTACATAATAAGTGTCAAAATACAATGGAACACACTTATAGCTCAAATGCGAGGTTTTTGTTTAGAACGTGGACAATTACTTTCATCCTTAAGGGGTTATATGGCTTATCTAAGTACCATCATCCTTCCATAAACATGGTTGTGTTTGATGTGTCTCCCAGTTCTGGGTCAAACCACTTTCCATCATTTTGAGTGAGGAATCCCAACATACAATCATCCTGGTCCCTCTTGACCATATTTCAAATGTGGAAGTACCACTTCTGAATTGGCAATATTAATTTTTCCATATTTGAATGACTTTTATTACCTGTGTGTAAGATTAAGTGGTTGTGATGGTTAGACTGACCATTTTACTAAATCAATTTTTGTGTTAACAAAAATATGGCATTTCATAAGACTGCTTCTCCCTGTAGGACAAAGCATATGTTCATATAAAGCTCTTTTACACACAGTTACTGTAGTGACTTACATATTACACTTATTTTTCATTCACTACTGTTAAAGTAACACTCCAAGCACCATTACCAGTATAGTTGCTTGTAGTTGTAATAGTGCTATGAGGGATCTGGCACCCTCCCAGTGTAAATAGTCAAACCATTTAAAAATAGCTTGCCTTGGATCCACTGGTCATTTCATCTGCAGTACAGAAGCTCCTTGCATGGAGTTAAACCTTGCAGAGCATGACTGAGAACTTCGAGCACCCAGGAGACACTTGGTAAGTTGTTGAACCCTTAATTCAGTTTAAGTAGTCAAACTGTTTAAAAAAAAAAAAAAATGGTTTATAGGTCCCCACCACCCTCATGGCCCCTCTCCTTTCTCCAGTGCCGGGCTCCCTCGGTGCTGGGGACCCTCCTCCTTCTTCGGACGTCATCGGCTGAATGCGCATTCGCGGCAATGCTTTCCTATGGACGCTGGCGTCTTCTCACTGTGAAAATCACAGTGAGAAGTGCGGAAGCGCCTCTAGCGGCTGTCAATGAGACAGCCACTAGAGGCTGGATTAACTCTAATGTAAACATAGCAGTTTCTCTGAAACTGATATGCTTACAGCTGCAGGGTTAACCCTAGATGGACCTGGCACCCAGACCACTTCATTGAGCTGAAGTGGTCTGGGTGCCTATAGTGTCCTTTAATCCCTTAACCCCTTAAGGACACATCACATATGTGACATGTCATGATTCCCTTTTATTCCAGAAGTTTGGTCCTTAAGGGGTTAAGACACTACTGGCACTATAACTGCTACAATGAGCTGTAGTGGTTATTTTGCTTGAGGTGTTCATTTAAAGTAAAGCTTACTTTCTGAAGAAATTATCAAATCAAAATACATTACCTACTGTCAAACACTTGAGTTTTAAAATAAAGCTGTTTCTCAAATGGGTAATGACTGTCTTTTTTTTTTTTTTCCTGTCTTGTCTTAATTCAGATGGTTTCCATGGTGATACATACCTAACGGTAAAGCTGTTGCTACCAGGCGTCATTAAAAGTGTCTATAACCTGAATGACAAGCAGATTGTCAAACTTTTCAGTCGCATTTTTAACTGCAACCTTGAGGAGATGGTGCGGGACCTTGAGCAGGTAAAACGTGTTAAATAAATGACAATTGCATTTTTTGGGAGACCTTTTAGTGTACAGGTTGGACAGCAAATTTTATTCTTCTGTAACTTTTTTAACTCTGTAGTGTTGTTTGCATAAAATCATCACTGCTTAGGTGAGCTTTAAAGCTCATAATGATATCAAAGTATGGTATCTTTAGCTGCAGTAACTATCCATCTTCTGGTGCTTGGTGGTTAGCTGACACAGGAAAGCCCTGAAATTGAACTCTGTGTAATAAATGCAGATCTGTGTATTACAAACTTTCATGATGTAGATGAGATTAGCTAGCAGTGAAACTAAAATAGATCCAACATGTGAAAAACACAGAAAAAAAATTGTTTCCACAAAGCATTACTTAATTGTTGGTATAAATAACTGATTTTTGAAGTATACACTTTTTTCTTGCAGTTAATTTTGCATTGGTTGTCTGCTGAACAAAATGAGACTTGGGCCTAGCAAATGGTGTAGAGTCTAAAACCTGTATAGTGCTTTGCTGTATGAGGATGTAGCTGGGTACAAATTATGTTTCTTGGGCAGTACAGTGGATGCATTAGAGATAAGTGCCTGAAGGTATTTTTGTTAATAGGGGGATGTCTCAGAGACTGTTCGCATATTCTTTGAAAAAAGCAAGACATTCCCACCAGCTGCTAAAAGTCTCTTGACCATTCATGAAGTGGATGACATGCTCAACCAGCTTTCCAAGATGACAAAGGAAGAGGATCAGCAGAAAGTCCTAGAAGATCTTGCCCGCAGGTGAAGTTTTTGCTTGAGATCTGTGCATTGGCGATTGTAAAACTTTACCATGTCATTTATTTCTCCTCTTCAACATTAAGTGCATCTAAAAACCAATGCAGCCAACTCTCTCAAACCATTAATGCTTGCTTTTTTTTTTTTAATTGCTGTACTGTGTACCTATGTATAGGTGTACACAGCATTGTGTCCAGGCTGGCATATGAACAAAACAAGAATTTAATGCACATATTTTTATTAACCCCGATGATTCATAATGTCATGTCACACAAGTCTCTATATAGTATTACTAAATTAACCCCATAAAACGTGTTGTTTTGTATAGGTGTACCAGTAATGACCTGAAATGTATAATACGCCTTATCAAACATGATCTGAAGATGAACTCTGGGGCTAAACATGTGTAAGTGTATTCTTGGGGGATTCGCTAGTGTGGGTGCATGTAAATAGTTATCTGCTTCTGCAGTGAATACTGTTCTGCTGTGTTGTTAGGGTAACACCACACTTCACAAAATTATTTTGGCTATCATTCTATTGTTAATTGGTGGTTAAATCCTTGTTGTTTTGCCTTTGTTTAAAGTGTTAGGTATTTGTCCCTAAAGTGTTAAACACAGCAACATTCTTTATAAGCTGGCGTTTATATTGACAGAGTAAAGTTAACTGCACTTTTGATACCGTATGGGACAGTATCAATAGCTCTACATATTTATTTTCAATCAGATTGGATGCCCTTGATCCTAATGCATATGATGCATTCAAAGCCTCTCGTAATCTAGGAGACGTGGTAGAACGTGTACTGCGTAACCAACAGCAAGCTCCAGGAATGAAACGCACTCTCAGTGTACAAGCTTCCCTAATGACACCTGTTCAGCCTATGCTGGTGAGAAAAAAAACTCATGTTCTTAATTTTAAAGCCAAAGCTGTATAGGCTGCAACATTGGCAGTTATGTATGTAAATGCTGTTCAAAAACAAAACCTAAACTAGGTACATCAGTAAAAAATATATCCTTATCCTCTCTATTTTTTGATTCCCCCTTAGGCTGAAGCCTGCAAATCTATAGAGTATGCCATGAAGAAGTGCCCCAATGGAATGTACGCTGAAATTAAGTATGATGGGGAGAGAGTTCAAGTTCACAAGAATGGCGATCACTTCAGCTATTTTAGCCGCAGCCTTAAGCCAGTGCTTCCCCACAAGGCAATTATATTTCTTTTTTAATTTTCTTTTTAGAAGCATATTATTAGGTTTCCTTCACTCGTGTGGTTTTTACCCAAGTATTTTACACAGTGCCTTACATGATTTAAATATGACTTTTGCTTTTCTGTTTTCCAGGTTGCTCATTTCAAGGATTTCATTCCCAAAGCATTTCCTGGAGGAAATAGTATCATCTTGGATACTGAAGTCCTTCTCATTGATACCAATACGGGCAAGCCCCTTCCCTTTGGGACGCTGGGTGTTCATAAGGTAGATCCTGTAATACATAATTTTTGTGCAGCAGCTCCCAGACTCTAACACTGCCCTAACAAGCAAACATTTGGGAAATTTTGTAGAATGAAGCTGTGTAAATCAACTTGAATGAATCTGTGGTTTTAAAGTAATGTTATTGTTTTTGTTAAAAATCACTCTCTATTTACAGAAAGCAGCCTTTCAGGATGCCAATGTTTGCCTCTTTGTTTTCGACTGCATTTATTTCAATGGAGTTAGCTTGATGGACAGGTAGGCATGGCCGGAAGCCAATATGAATAGTGTCCCATTTCAATTTTGTCCCATTTTAATACTCCACATCACCAACTTATTTTATTTTATTTTTTAACAGGCCACTTAGTGAGCGGCGAAAGTTTATGCGTGATAACATGGTGGAAATCCCTAACCGTATCTTGTTCTCTGAGATGAAACATGTAACAGTGAGTACTTGACTGAATATTTTATTGCAGCTGTCTAGAACTTTTTATATATATATTTATATATATATTTGCTTTTATATGCCTTCCCTTCCAATGTCTAATAATCTGGGGTGGTGTACTTGTATTGCATTGGAACCCTTTTCTGTAATAAATTTCATGTTTCTTGTTTGCATGGAGAGGCACCCACAATGAACTTGCTTCCCATTTTGCTCCCCTTAGAACATGCATTTGATTTTCTTTTTCTGTTATACTGGTTTTATTGCATATTTCTCACACACAACTATTGACTTCAAGAAAGGTGTGCAGGTTTGTATTTTCCTACATATGGTATCTATTTTGTTTTCTTAGTACAAGTATGTGTAAGCTTTGGTGATTAACATCTTCAATGATACTTTGCAGGCTTGCTGTGCAATGCTACTGTACGAATGACCCCATTTCCCATATGTTTTGGCTTTTGTCTAAAGTTTGTTACATAAAGTTATTTTGTTTGCAGCAATTTTAGTTCATTTTGAAACCTTTTTAATCCTTTTTTTTTTTTTTTTTTGTCATAGAAAGCTGCTGATTTGGCAGACATGATTACTAGGGTTATCAGAGAGGGACTGGAGGGCCTTGTGTTGAAAGATTTAAAGGTATGTTTGTCAGATAAATGCAGTATTTTTAACTGTGAACATTTATGAAGTCCTTCTCATCTGACTTTGTTTCTCCTACTAGGGGATTTATGAACCAGGTAAACGGCACTGGCTAAAGGTGAAGAAGGATTACTTGAACGAAGGTGCTATGGCAGACACTGCTGATCTTGCTGTCTTGGGCGCCTTTTACGGGAAAGGAGCAAATGGTGGGTCTAGAGCTTGATAAACTATTATAGTTAAAGTAAGCACTGTCAAACAATTGGGATACAAGCTAATTATATGTGCTGGTGAAAGGGAAGCAAAGTTATTCACTGGGTAGATTTGTGGTTGTTGGTAATCTGAAGGCTTTTTATTTTATTTTTTTTCCCTCTCATCAATGGCAGGTGGTATTATGTCTATTTTTCTTATGGGCTGCTATGACCCACAGTCCCAGAAATGGTGTACTGTGACCAAATGTTCAAGTGGTTACGATGATGCTACTCTTGCACGTCTACAAAAGGAACTGGATATGGTGAAAATCAGCAAGGTGGGAATATTTTTAATAATGCTTGTTCAAACTTTCCATAAGCCCTAAATAATTGGGGATAATGTTTTTGTAAATTTAAAGCGTAAAACTTTAACTGTAAACTGAAAGTTGTATTTTTTTAAATTTTTTATTTTTTTTATTCTTCCCTCACTCAAAATGTTTAACTGTACATAATTTTATTAAAGGAACGCTATAGTCACCAAAACACCTTTAACCTAATTAAGCAGTTTTGGTGTATAGATCATGCTTCTGAAGTCTTGCTGCTCAGTTATCTGCTTTAGGAGTTGAATCTCTTTTTTTTTTTTTTTTTGTCTATGCAACCTTAGCCACACCTCTCATGGCTGTGGCTGACAGACGCTATGGGGAAAAGAAAAGTTTCACTTTCAATCAAATGTTACTCACTTTAAAAGTTTTCATCCCCTGGTCTATACATTTTACTTTAATTACATACAAGAGACTCCTGCGGTGTCTAGCAAGCTGTTAACAGAGCAGGAGATAAGAAATTCTAAATAAAACCGAATTTGCTATAAATGAAATGTAAACATTAGATGACTCTTTACAGGAAGTGTTTAGGAAGGTTTTGCAAGTCACATGCTGGGCGGTGTGATTAGGGCTGCATAAACAAAGTGATTTAACTCCTAGATGGCAGAGATTGAGCAGTAAGACTGCAGCGGCATGATCTATACACCAAAATTGTTTTATTAAGCTAAAGTTGTTTCGGTGACTATTGTGTCTCTTTAATTGCAAAAATATTGGCATTGCTGTTCTTAATTACTTATCTGTGTGAACCTTTTTATATCTCTCAAAATGTAATTGTATTCTGAAATAACTATCCTTAAAGGGACTCTCCAGGCAGCCGGTTTTACTCACCTGGTTCCAGCGCCGGGAGCCTCCTGAAGCTGCGCCCCCTATTTTGTCAAAATGACGAAATAGGCGGGTGCGAGCAGGGAGCAATCAGACGCTTCCATTTGGAAGCGTCATTGCTTCATCATGCACGGCTTCGCCGCACATGCGCACATACTTTATAGGGCCGCGCATGCAGGAGAGAGAAGGCGCGCACACAGTGCCTTCTCTCTCCTGCACACGTCAGACATATTTTAATACGTCTGACGTGTACAAGGCCTTTTTAGGGCCCTACATGATAGGAAGTCCCTCTGGTGGCCGTCTGAGTGACTGCCACTGGAGGTATTCCTATCAATCAATGTAAACACTGTATTTTCTCTGAAAATACAGTGTTTACATTAGATTGCCTGCAGGGAGCTATAGATCTCGCCTGAACAACGACATTAAGCTGTAGTTGTTCAGGTGACTATAGTGTCCCTTTAAGTTGGTGAACGTTATATAACCAGCTTTTTGAGAGATTTTCATATACAAGGGGCAAGCGAACTTGGTTGTAACTGCACGTCTTGGTGGATATATATATAATTTTTTTATTTATTTATTTTTCTTCATTACAGGATCCATCCAAAATACCTCCTTGGCTGAAGATAAACAAGAATTACTACCCTGACTTTATAATCCGGGAACCAGAGGTAAAAAGTGTTCATACACTTTAGGGTAAACCATGCTAATAATATCCAGGCAGTTTTCTTGCAACCAGCATTAGCTTGTACTTCCCATATATCCTCATGTTGGTTGCAGGAGGTAAGTTCATCATGCACTTACTATTGAATTGGTTCTAGAATTGTAAATTCTGACTATCATCCAGAAGCTCAACATTGCAGAAAGCAAAATAAATTTATAAAAGATGGTAAATCTACATGGCATACCACTTCAGACCTTCTATTGATCAATTTATGAAACTCACATTCGACGTGTGCAAAAATTAGTTTGAGCTGGTCCGTCAGATTAAAATTTCTATTGATTGTTGAATAATTTTACTTGTGGAGTCACCAGGTAAGATTGATTCAGAATTGTTATGGATTAACCGGAATTTTATTCAGACAAACTGGCTCAAATTAATTTTTGCACAAGTCTAACTCAAATGTACACTTGGATGTATGGCTATCCTTTTTCTTGCCTTGTTAATTTTTAATTTATTTTAGCAGTTTTCTCTAGCAACAGATATGTTCAAGTACAAATAGTAGTTTTTGTTTAACAGCACTTACATAATATTGGCTTTGTCAGTGATAGCCTTTTGTCATCAATCTAAAATGTAAGTAAAGCAAAGCTGTTAAACTGAAATTTGTCAGATTTAGACTGCAGGTACTTTAGAGTTATAAAAATTCTGCTAAACAATAAAAAAAAAAAAAAAATTTAATAGCTGCAAAGATCTGTGACAAAATGGCTGCAGAAAGGTTGCTGAAATCTGCAACATTACATTGCAGAATAATGTAGACATGGTTAGAGTAAAGTTTGGAAACCACTACTCCTCTTCCAAATGTGTCAAAAATCGAGAAATTATTTAACCTGTGCATGTGGCTCATTGCTAGTCTCTCATAGAGAAATCTTCTGATACATAACTATGCTCTTTTCATCTGTCCTTGTATGTCTGGAAGTCTTTTTCTACCATAGAGCGTGAAATGTCCGCTTGCATTAATACTACACTCAGAGATCATAGATAACGTATTTAAGTATGCAGATGAAAATTTCCTCTGCCTTCAAGTAGCCCGATAATAGAGGAAAAAACCCTGGGATAAAATGTGCCCTACATTCTAAAATTGTTTTTCTGATTCCGCACACACACACAGCTTTAATATAGAGTTCACTCTAACAATAGTGTTTTTTTGAATCCTCGTTTTGAGAAAAGCTTTTCTTTACTTGCTTGTAAATTGCTGGCAGGTTTCGGTTTAGTTCTGCTGCAAACCAAGAAGACCTAACAATTTAATGCATCAGTAATCTGCAACGTAGAATGCTGCTTATAGCGTTTCCATCACCCCTCTCTGCCCCAGTCCAGTGTAAGCACTTTGCTGTAAAATGCTTTAATACTGTAATCCTCCCAGCTTACTTACAAATTCCTAGTTAACGAGACTCAAGAAAACCTAAGCCCTAACAAATCAATGTGTCTGATCCTTTTACTTCCATTTTTAAAACAGCTGATCATCTAAATTTGCATGATTTTGTGTTGTATAGATATATAATTTTTTGGGTTTTTTTTATTTTATTTTTTAAACAATCCATGTATACTTCTTTACAGAAAGCTCCAATCTGGGAAATTACTGGAGCTGAGTTTTCTAAAGCAGAGGCCCACACAGCAGGTGGTATTTCCATTCGCTTTCCAAGATGTACTCGCTTTCGTGATGACAAGGACTGGAAGAGTGCAACAACCCTCCAACAGTTGAAGGTAAGCGTTTTGAATTCAAGTAGGTTAGTTATTGTAAAGCCACTTTAAGAATGCAGATATTACTCTATTCTTCTATTATATACATCTATATATAGTAGTTTGAGATAAGCCCTACTATTTTCCAGCTGTGTTACTCTACGTCCAATACTTGCTCTGCTCTGTTGCTTTGAGTTTGTTGCAGGTTCCGTAGCGTTATTATTAAATTTTTTGTTAGTGCAATAAAGGGGGGGGGGGGTGATAACTCCACTGACCACTCCTCAGATGGATGCTAGAGGTGCTTCCTCGAGCAGTGCTGCACACTGTGCAGTACTGCCTTTCAGTGTCTCCACCATCTACCTGCAGACATTGATCTTTCCTCATAGATGCATTGAATCAGTGAGGAGATGCTAATTGGCCAGGGTTGCGTTTGACTTGTGCTGGCTCTGCCCCTGATCTGCCTCATTGACAGTCTCAGCCAATCCTATGGGAAAGCATTGTGATTGGCTTACAGATTCACTTCTGATCATGTCCATTGTAAGAATGCAGATCAGGGGCAGAGACAGCAGCTGCAGATTTGAATAAAAGGAAGATTTTACTATATTTAGGGAGGCATGGTGGAGAAGGGGGGGCTATATGGTGGTTTTAACACTATTGGGTCAGGAATACATGTTTATGTTGCTCACTCTATAGTGTTCCTTTTATTCATACCACTCATACTTAGAATCACAAACGTGACAGGAAAGTGAGAAAATTAGTTCAGCAAAGCAGAGAACCTATAATCTACTGGCCAATTTCTGTATCTAAAACATTGTGATTTATTCAACAGTATACTTGGGTGCCGCCAAATTTATTGTTTTGTCCGAACTGAATTTCAGCAATTGTTAACTCAATTTTCTGTCTTTACTGTCCGAATTAAATTCCGATCCTTCCCGCGGCTGCATCTTGTAGCTGTTTAGTAGATAACCACATAAATTGGTACCCTTTTGGTATTCTATAGGAGTACCAAATTGGGGAGCTGTTTAGTTGATGGCTCTTTATGGCAATCCCACAAGGATTAAGAAGCCATCTACGAATAAGCTGAAAGACCAAAATTATGAGAAGCCCTTCTTTTTTGTAATTTTGATCTTTCAGACAATTTCACTAATACGAAGTGAAAAACAACAACTTAGTATTAGTAAATAAGGGAGGTTAAATCCTCCCTCCTGACCTTACTCACCATGCCGTGAGTAAAGCATGTCTACCAGTGGCTGCTCGCTGTTATTTTAAAAAAATAAATAAATTGTAATGCATGTATTGTTTGCACACCATACCAAGCTTTCTGCATACATTTTAATGTTTTTCTTAACATTCACTGGCTTCCTTTATTATAGCAAACTAAAGCATCATCTGCTCCTACATTTGCCATCTATATAATTGTCTAAACTTCTGTATACTATATATATATATTTTTTTTTTTTTTTTTAGGAGCTCTATCAGTTGTCGAAGGAGAAATCTGACTTTAGTATAACCGCCTCAGCTTCTCAGGATGAGGAAGGATCTTCAGAAAGCAGCAGTCGAGAGAATGAAGGAAATTCAAGGCCTCCTACACCTAGCGGCTCAGTCAAATCTTCTAAAGGCCATTCTTCCAAATCTTCTGTTAAGAAGCCAGAAGGTCAGAAGCTATACCACAGACTACTCAAATACTGGTGTTGAGAATACATTCATACACATGCATTGTTAATTGTTTTTGTTTACAACTTTTAAGGGAGTTTTTAGGCATATTTATGAACAAAAAACAAATCTACAAATATAAAATAAAAGCAGACATAGCGCAATATTGTAAATTAATATATTGCACTCCCTAGGATATTGAAAGGATATCACTACTCCGAGTTATCCAATGCTCCTCCAGATAATCTAAGGTGATCAGGATTCATGCAAAACTTGAAAAAATCGGTGATAGTGCAGAGTCTTAATAAACTAAAGTGGTCTTTAATATATATCAAACTTTTATAATACAGGCACATCAAAAATACATCCAATGATAAGGAACGTAATTTCACTGGTCACCGTAAAGATTCCAGGGAAATATTCTTCCTCCAAAGAAGTATACAGAAAACGGATGATGAACAATATAAAAACAAAAATATAAATCACTTAGCTAGCAACGCCCTACATGTTTCATCCGAATGCACTGACCTCCTCAAGGACACTCCTGTGTCTAGTCCTCATTACCAGCGTTCCAAGTCTCGTTTTTGAGTATCCTTATAGTGCATCCGTGCATTTCTACTCTGGATCTGAAGTCCTTTCCTGATCATTTGTGCGTTCCAAGAAATGTATTTTTGCGTTCCAGGGAGTTCAAGACACGCATCCTACTTGGTCCATTATATATGAAACTCTTTTTATATTTATATTTTTATATATATATATATATATATATATATATATATATAAAGAGTTTCATATATAATGGACCAAGTAGGATGCGTGTCTTGAACTCCCTGGAACGCAAAAATACATTTCTTGGAACGCACAAATGAGATATATAGATATATATATATATATATATCTCAAGGATGTCAGGAGAAACACAATTTTTACAATTCATTCCATTTTAACTTTGTATTAAAGAGAGAGATTGCTTGGAAAAAGTACCACTTTGTAGAATGGCAGTATAATGTTGTGGTATCTGATCAGATTGTAGTTATAGATTTTTGTACTCTGGTTTTGTTTTTTTTTTGTTTTTTTTATTTATTTTATCCTGAACCAAAATGACATGCACTGCCTTGTCAGAAATGTACAACTCATCTGCTTTATTTTATTAATTTACCAAGTGCAACCATTTGCTTATATTGATTTATCAATGATGGTGTAATATCTAGAACAGAAAAATTAGGTGTTGTGATCTGTCTAAACGTACTTGTTGGTGTCATGGCAGACAGATGCTAATTTTGTATCTGAATAAACACTGCTGGGATTGAGCAGTAAACTTCTGGAATGGAGAGCACCCTTTATCCTCCTTGTGGTTTCAATTGAAGAGATTTGTGTAATTTTTCTATTTCTATTGGACTACATTTCTTCGCTTACTGCCACCATTGTTAATGCAATTATAACAGTGGAGTGTAATAAATGCAGTGCTGCAGCTATATTTTGCAATGCTACCATAAACCTTTATTTGGTCACTCCAGTCCCCTAAGGTTAACTGAATGTCTCCTCTGGCTTACATTTTAGAAGTTCTGATTCCAAAATAAAACAGCACTGTTATATAAAACCCCTAAGTTACACTTTCTGGATGTCAATCAGACAGCCAGAAGGGTTTAATGTGTCACTTATGTCTGTAGTCTATTGTAAAAGTGAGTTATTCACGTAGAGGGTTTGTGCAGTAAATCTAACCATTCTCAGGTACATTCAAACGGGCGGGAGGGGGAGAAAGGGGGGAAAAAAGTGTTTTGTTTTTTTTTGTTTTTTTTTTGTGTGTGTGTTTTTATATATAAATAATCAATGTTTCCTTAAGAACCGTATCAACCACTAGCTTCCACTTTGTTTCTTTGACTATTTAATTTATATTTTTAGTGATCATATCTTTTTTTCAGAATACTTATATTACACGAACACAACTTATAATTATGCTGTATACTGTACATGTCACCAGGGACTAAGTTTTTGTTTTCTTTACAATTTTTCTAGTTAAGAAAATGCTCCCTCCGCCAAAAAAGGAAGAGCCTGCCAAAGCAGAGAAGCGCAAAAATGTATCTCCGGGACCTGTCCAGAATAAAAAGGCAAGCAACTGATGGCAGGCCTTTGTACAAAATATAGTGCTGCAATTTTTTTTTTTTACTTTTTCTTTGTGGTGGCTTTATTTTTTAATTTTTATTTTTTAAATTGTTTCGTTTTTTTTCTTTGTTTTACTCTTGCAAACCAGCATGAGGATTCCTGTTAGGAACACGCTAATATCAGACAGACTCCCATCTGATAGAAATCCTCACTCTGACTGGTGGGAGTATAACTAGCACACATGTAAAAAAAAAATGTAAATGTTATCCATTTAAAAAAAATAAAATAAACGTGTAATAATATTTTATTTATTTTTGTAAATGTGCTTGTGTTTATCTGCAGGTTAAAATCTCTGAGGCAAGTCACAGCAATGGCCACAGTGTAGTCCAATTACCATCCACTCCTAAGGTAAAAAAATAAAATTCTTTTCACTTGTAATGTTAGATTTTATTTACTTATTTATTTTCATTGCCACTACTGTTTAGCAGTGCATTGTGGAAAACCACTATATTTTATTTTAGCTTTATTCAGTGCCAAGAGGTGGGTAACATAGATGTCAGAGTGTTTTAATTTGTTAATAAAGACCTTCGGACTGAACTGTTTTCCTTAGCACTTCATGGTTTGATTTTTATTATGGCTTATTCACCAAAGCAGGAACAAGAAACTGCACATTTTAGGTCAAAATTTCTTCAACGCTTTCGTTTTCAGTTTGGCTATTTTAGCCCAAGATTTCCTACTTATTACATAGATCATATATTGTGGTTTTATATACCTGGTTACATGGTGATTACCTAGCACAATTGAAGCTATATTAAACTCTCATTTAATGTTGCTATTAAATTTTCCCTTAGAACCTCCTGGATATATTCACTGGTGTGAAACTCTACCTACCATCTTCGCTGGATGATTTTGCCAAACTCCGTCGCTACTTTGTTGCATATGACGGGGACTTAGTACCAGAATTTGATGCTTCTTCAGCCACACATGTAATGGGTGACCTATCTGAGAGTTCTGTAGATGCCAAGCATGTTACTCCACGTTGGATATGGGAGTGTATCAGACGCCGAAGATTAGTGGCCCCGTGCTGACGTTGTGGGCCATTCAAGCTCCAACCAGGCAGAAACGAACTTGTTTACATTTGACGTTTACAGAGCTGGCAAGGGGGCGACTGGAATATTTTTATGTACACGCAATGTAGTGTATGGTCTTCGGTAGCTGATAATAGGTTACAATAAAAAAAAAAAACCTGCAGCTAATCTATGTTCCCCAGTGTTGATACAACACCTGAAACTATACACTATATGCTTCCCTCTGTCCTCACTTGATGCAACTCAGACTGGGTGGAATTAACTTATGTGCCAGTAGTTAGGAAATGGACACTTGTGATTGAGAATTTATGGTTCTTTCAATTGAATTTAATACTGATGAATTCATTTAAAAGAAAGCAAGTTTTGAATTGTGTAGAAATAGAAAAGACCCAATTTGTCTGCCTTTTACATTATTTCCCAACCTCAGCATTTCTCCTTTTTTTTTTTTTTTTTATTGTATCAAACTGTGTACGCACAGGGGACAGGACCTGAATTAGTTTTCCCCATAGAAAGGGCTAAAGATATGAGGATTATTCACAAAACTGTAAGTTGTAGTGAATTGAAATCCAAATGGCAAAATTTTGACTAAAACAGTCAAGCTGTGAATTTTTTTTTTACATAGCAACTGTTTATTGACAAAATTTTAATATTTGGTCTTCATTTCTCTATAATTCTGTGTTTTTGTGAATAAAAGCCCTGTGATTTAGTAAAATGGGGTAACTGGCAGTGTAAACTCTATAATAGTTCCTCTTTTTACTTTACTGCTTTTTAATATGCAATTGAGGCTACATGTATTTCGCCTGCAATAGGTCCTGCTCTCAAACCGCAGTTACTGAAATGTAGATCATTTGCTTAATGAGATCATTCAAGAAACACTCAATATTTTTTATTTTTTTATTTTTAATGTATTTAATGCATATGTTGTATGAACATTATAACATTATTGCATGTAATATGTATGTATTTTTTTTGCCTCCGACAAGCTGCTTTTTGCAGCTAGTTACTAGAGATTTCAGGCTAAAACTTCTAGTAAATGTAACCAGCTCAGGTTGGTTAAAGACCAATTGGCATGGCCTACGTGATTCTCTATGGGAATCCTTTATTTCATGCTTTTGTGACAACTCGACACATATAATAGCATTTCAGTTTGCAATGTTATATGTACTAAATATAAATGTCTGTACAGAGGTACCTATACTAAATAGCACTTCCATTACTTGGTGCATTTACAACACTGGACTGTGAAATTACCAATTAGTAAAGTTTAATACTAAAATGCATTTCACCTTGCACTTGGATTATTACTATAGCATTGTAAACTGAGATGCCAGGATCCCAGTGAAACAGACCCATTCCCATTTCCCTCCCCCAAACTGGGATGGCAGACCACTCTTTCCACCGTAGTGCTGGGGGTTCACCAAGATGTGCAGCTTTCAGTACCCTCTCACCTTTCACTCACAGCTGAGAGACAGGAGAGGGACAGGGATAACTGGAACTAAGAGCATGCAGGGAAACAACTTTTAACTTTTTAGTTTGCCATTGCAGATAAAATGTTGGTTGTAATTATTATTCCCTCCCTGCACATGTCTAGTACATACAACACTGAACCATGAAAGCACTGTTCATTAAACATGCACAGGAAGGCCAACAGAGGGACAGATATATATATATATATATATATATATATTTTGCTGCAGGTCTACCTGCATGAACTCTCCTTAACTTGCTGGCTTTTGGTCTCCTACAACTCTGCTCTGAGTCTGGTGCGTTCAGAGACTTTCCTACATAGGTAGAGGACTATAGCATGATGTATGTTAGAATGGGGGGCATGGTAAAAGTGTAGCCTGAAAGTGCAGAAAGCTGCAAAACATTACCCGTTCTTTAAAAAAAAAATATATATATACAGCATGTTACAGGGTTACTCCAGCCACCATGACCACTTCAGTGATTTAAATTGGTCATGCTGGTAGGAGTCAGTATGTGCAATGTTTCTGGTTGAACCACTGCACATAGAGAGATATTCATAATTGTAACTCTGTTCCGGGCTCCATAATGTCAGTTCTGTGCATAACATAACGTCTGTCATTGGCGTGCACTCCAGAGTGCTTCTCTGGGTAACATTGCTTCCCTCTCCCACCTCCCTCAGTGCATATTGTTTTTGTATTGTTTTTTTTGTAACCCTCCCTACACTTTTTTCTCCCCTCGCTGTGTAATGGTCCAATCACAATCTTCTCGAAGCCTCGCTATGCACTGGATTCAAGGTGAGTAAAACCTTTTTATTTGCAGGTTTTACTGCAAATTGAGAGGGGGTACCTTCCCCATAGTTCCCAGTAGGGCATATTACAAAGTAAAGGTCGCCATCTCAAAAGGGTTATAGTAACCCTTTCATAATGCCAAAACTTATCAAATACATCAACGCTTTTAAGGTGTCTTTACAATTTTTTTTCTTATGTTTATATAAACAAAATAGTTTATGTAGCTAGGTGGGCCTGTAGTCGTGCTTGTGACTATTGTTTGAACAGAGCAGGGTCACTAGTTGAAGGTCAATGGATGAATAGATGCAGTCCTTGGCTGTATGGACTTGACTGGCCAGTGTTTACTCTATATTTCCAGCTAAATACAAAAGTATTTTGGCATTAAGTATTAACATCCTGTTTCTTCCACTGAGCAGATAAACAGAGCAAGTGAAGAAATGCAATCCTGAAACATTTTTATTAAAATATTTGTGCTTAAACACAGATTTTAAATCTATCATGCAAATGTTACATATGCTATAAAGATTTGGATATTTTGCCAGCACATTCTTTTAGCAAAACTGTAGACCAAAGTATATTTTTATTGGAAATGTTCTGCTGAAGTCTGTGTACTTGTAGAACTAAATACAATGGTATCTGTTAATCTTCAGATACAAATGTGTAATATGTTATTTGGGTAGGGTTTTTTTGTTTTGTTTTCTGTTTTTGTTTACAATGCCATAATGCATTGTGAATCAGAGTAGGAAAATAAGATTGTGTGTGTGTGTGTGTGTATATACCAAAATAGTGAACTTAATGGGCTTTTTCAAAGAAATCTTTAAAATGCTTTATTGTGTCCATGATTCAGTCCCTAAGGACTTTTTTAAGACCATGAATATATTGCAAAACAACCGTTAAATACGTCCTACAAGAATATAATTGGAGGGTAAGTGATGAAAAGGAGACTCTGGATGCTGTCGAAATTTGAAACGCGTCATCCGTCCCATTAGCCCTACACCAAAAAGGATAAGTACAGCCTATGATCAACATGTTCTTTAACCCCTTAAGGACCAAACTTCTGGAATAAAAGGGAATCAGGACATGTCAGACATGTCATGTGTCCTTAAGGGGTTAAAGGTGCAGGCGAAAAGGTACTATATACAAAGAAACATATACTGTACATAAGAGAGAAAACACTGTGGAGAGAAGCATGTCTGGAAACCACAAAAGTGGGAAGAAATTTTGTATCGAGCCCACAGGCAAATTCAAGAAAGACCAAAGATGTGCAATGTTAAACTCGGACTGCAACCCCCATCACCACTTGGATAGAACCTGAAGGACAAGACGTATATGAAAGAGTCCTTTGGGACTTGATTGTAAAAATGGCACAATAAAGTCCTTTAAAGAATTCATTGAAAAAGCCCCTCGGGTGCACTCTTTTAGCAGACTGTATTAAGGTTGGAGGCCGCACTGGGGCACCGAGAAGACCAGGGAGCAACAAGTGCTGGGTACAAGGAATTGTGTGTGTGTGTGTATATATATATATATATATATATATATATATATATATATATATATATATATATATATATATATATATATATATATATATATAAAATCTCATTCATATTTTTGGTTTTATGGGGAAAAAATCTGACATCCCTTTAGCACGAGTTTTTGTTCAGCAAAATAATAAATTGTTTATGGTTATTGTAAAGTACAAGTTAGTTTTATAATCAGTGCCAGTGTTTTCCAGTATGTGTTATTCTAATTTGCAAACACTAGTCTATCTTCTATAGGCAGCTGGCTTTGCTACCAGTCACTGGATAATCCCTTATTTCGATTTTACAGAAATTCATCTACATAGACAACAGTTGTATTGTGTATTTTTTGCTGTTTTTGGTATAAATCTGCTCACTATAATATACCTCGAAGTAGATTTATAAATGTAAACACATTTTTGCTAATAAGATTATCTTACAGTTGCTTTATTAGTACTGTGTGTGTTTGGAAAGTTTATCATGTGCTCAAAATATCCACTTTGTACCTGTGGAGAAATCTTTTATTGGAAAAATAAGAAAAGTGCCACTTCCTGTTGATAAATCCTTACACTGACTTTAAAAAAAAAAAAAAATTTACATTTTATTTTTTTCTGCTTTATGTTCAAGGTCTATAAAAGGGAATCACAGACCAAAACATTGCAAGCAATTTGTAGAGGCTTATATTGTATGGCAGGTAAAAGTTATTCAGAAGAGAGAGCTCCTAGAATAGTGATGGGTAATTGTAGACACAGCAGATTTTTGTAATTTATGATTAACTGCTTAGACATACACATTTCATCTTACAAATACTCCAAGAATAGACCCAAATATTTAATATGTTCACTCTCCACAAAACCAATATTAGTCTATGTCTGTTTGGCCCATGTGATGCATACTCATTCTACTTTTTTTACTGTATCTTAGTGGTGGTTTCTATCTTAGGATTTTTTTCCCGTTCCCGCTTCTCGTAATTTCCACTGAATTGTTCATTATTATTTTTTCATTTATTTTTAGTAATTGCTGAATTTGTATTTCAGGGGGCAGTTAATCACTAATGAACTTGTTTAGTTAGTTCACTCTTTGTTTGATGGGCTGGTCACAGCAGGTTCAGATATTTTAAATATTTATCTGTTCTAACATTTAAGTATCCTGGTTTGGTGTTGTCTGAGTTGACCAGGGAATTGGAAGCTTGTACCTGGCAGCTGGGAAAATAAAAATTAGATTTATTCTAGTTCGATTTACGTATTGATATGTAAAATGTACACTTCCATGGACAAATAGCAATGCTTCCTGGTTTACTGAATAACCGACCCCAAACCTTTACATGTGTATTGCATAAACATGAATCCACTGTTTTTCCTATGCTGCCCTGGTGCAAGATTCTGACCAAGCTTGTTCAATGACTATGGCACCATGGCCGAGCCAGACTACATGGCTATATGGAAATTATTGATCTGCTTTGTTTTGATCACCATTTTATTAAGTAAATACCTTGTTTCTGTAAATAGCCCGAAAAACAAAGCAAATTGTTTTGAAAAAAAAAGTTTAGAAAACAATCTACACATCCTGGAACACTATGGCATGTGAATATGTTGTTTACTTTGGCCAGCTTGGTAACACAAGTCAATAAAACATTTATAGTCTGAACCTGAAATTCTCTAACTTGTCCGCTTTATTTATGTATCATTTAAATTTTATTTTAATTTTTTTTACCTTTTTATTCTGGATTGTGAAGAATGAATGTTTTAAGAAGCATCCTAAATTTGAAAACTCTCAGTTTAAAGAGCTCAATCAGACACATCTTAGATTAGTCTTTTTTTTTTTTTCCCCCCCAAAGAAATAAGAGTGGTGAATTAAACAATACGGGGCTATTTTGCCTTAAAGGATCACTATGGGTCAGGAACACAAACCTGTATTCCTGACCCTATAGTGTTAAAACCACCATCTAGCACCCCTGGGCCCATCATGCCTCCATAAATATAGCAAGAGCTTTCTGTATTCAAGCCTGAAGCTGTTGATCTGCATGCTGTTTGCCTCAGAAAAATAAGCTGTCTGCTGACATCATCAGAAGTGGTGGCCTGATCTATCCGCAATGCTTCGCCATAGGATTGGCTGAGACTGAAAAATAGGCAGATCAGGGGCAGAGCCAGCAGGATTCAAACACAGCCCTGGCCAATCAGCATCTCCTCATAGAGATGAATTGAGTCAATGAGGAAATTTCAGTGTCTGCATGCAGAGGGAGGAGACACTGAATGTTTGGATGCATTTTAGGCAGCCATGACCCAGGAAGGATCGCTAATAGTGCTGCACCGAACGGTTCGCTGGCGAACATAGCATGTTCGCGTTCGCCACGGCGGGCGAACATATGCGCGGTTCGATCCGCCCCCTATTCGTCATCATTGAGTAAACTTTGACCCTGTACCTCACAGTCAGCAGACACATTCCAGCCAATTAGCAGCACACCCTCCCTAGCAGACCCTCCCACCTACTGGAAGGCATCCATTTTACATTCATTCTCAAGCTGCATGCTTAGTGAGAGGAGGGAAAGTGTAGCTGCTGTTGATTAGATAGGGAAATGCATAGCTAGGTTAGGGTATACAGTGTCCACTACAGTCCTGAAGGACTCATCTGATCTCTGCTGTAAGGACAGCACCCCAAAAAGCCCTTTTTAGGGCTAGAACATCAGTCTGCTTTTTTTTTTTTGTGTAATGTAATTGCAGTTGTCTGCCAGCTTCTGTGTCAGGCTCACAGTGGATACTGTGCCCACCTGCCCAGTGCCACCACTCACTCACTGGTGTCACAATAGCTTGCATTTAAAACCCAAAAACATTTTTCACTGTTATAGATTGAATAGCAGTTAGTTGTCTCAAAGTGGGTGTGTCAGGCTCACAGTGGATACTGTGCCCAGTGCCACCATTCACTCACTGGTGACACAATAGCTTGCATTTAAAACCAAAAAACTTTTTTCATTGTTATAGATTGAATATAAAAGTAGCCTCTTTGAGAGAAATATTTCCCACAATCACAACAAAAATAAGGTTTCTCTCCTGTATGGCTCCTCAAATGATGCTTAAGATTGGAAGCGGCTGAAAAGCATTTCTCACACTCAGAAAAAATATATATATTTTTTTAACATTCTCTACACTTTGAACGAAATGACGTTTGGGAAGAAATTTTGTATGAGTAGGTTTTTCATGTACGATACGGGAACATGATTTAGATCCTTGGTAAGTTTTGCGAGATCCAATAGTGTGTATGTAGGGGGAACAGTCAATCCATATCTGCCAAGTGACCCTATGTAGGGGGAACAGTCTCTATTCTGCTCTGTGTCACTGTGTATCATGATCTCTGAGGACAGGTGTCAATCCATATCTGCCAAGTGACCCTATGTAGGAAGAACAGTCTCTATTCTGCTCTGTGTCAGTGTGTATCAGGGGCTCTGAGGACAGGTGTCAATCCATGTCTGCCAAGTAACCCTATGTAGGGGGAACAGTCTCTATTCTGCTCTGTGTCAGTGTGGATCAGGGGCTCTGAGGACAGGTGTCAATCCATATCTGCCAAGTGACCCTATGTAGGACGAACAGTCTCTATTCTGCTCTGTGTCAGTGTGTATCAGGGGCTCTGAGGACAGGTGTCAATCCATATCTGCCAAGTGACCCTATGTAGGGGAAACAGTCTCTATTCTGCTCTGTGTCAGTGTGTATCAGGGGCTATGAGGACAGGTGTCAATCCATATCTGCCAAGTGACCCTATGTAGGGGGAACAGTCTTTATTCTGCTCTGTGTCAGTGTGTATCAGGGGCTATGAGGACAGGTGTCAATCCATATCTGCCAAGTGACCCTATGTAGGAGGAACAGTCTCTATTCTGCTCTGTGTTAGTGTGTATCAGGGGCTCTGAGGACAGGTGTCAATCCATATCTGCCAAGTGACCCTATGTAGGGGGAACAGTCTCTATTCTGCTCTGTGTCAGTGTGTATCATGGTCTCTGAGGACAGGTGTCAATCCATATCTGCCAAGTGACCCTATGTAGGGGGAACAGTCTCTATTCTGCTCTGTGTCAGTGTGTATCAGGGGCTCTGAGGACAGGTGTCAATCCATATCTGCCAAGTGACCCTATGTAGGAGGAACAGTCTCTATTCTGCTCTGTGTCAGTGTGTATCAGGGTCTCTGAGGACAGGTGTCAATCCATATGTCTGGTGTCAATCCATATCCATTGTGATTTAGGAATGTTAAGTGATTTATGCCCTTTATGGATTAAGACCAGACTCTGCATCAACTGTGTAATTTTCCATGGGAGTTTTGCCATGGATCCCCCTCCGGCATGCCACAGTCCATGTGTTAGTCCCCTTGAAACAACTTTTCCATCACTATTGTGGCCCGAAAGAGTCCCTGTGTGTTTTAAAATTCGCCTGCCCATTGAAGTCTATGGCGGTTCGCCCGGTTCGCGAACATTTGCGGAAGTTTGCGTTCGCCATTCGCGAACCGAAAATTTCGGGTTCGCGACATCACTAATCGCTAACAGCTATCTGAGAAGTGGCCAGTGAAGTTATCTCTAGGCTGTAATGTAAACACTGCATTTTCTCTGAAAAGACAGTGTTTACAGCAAAAAGCCTCAAGGTAATGATTGTACTCACCAGAACAAATTCAATAAGCTGTAGTTGTTTTGGTGACTAGTGTCCCTTCAAAGGGATACTATAGGCATCAATACAACTATAGCTTAATGCAAATGTGCATTGATCATGCCTTTGCAGTATCACTGCTCAATGCTCTACCATTTAGGAGTTACATCCCTTTGTTTCTGTTTATGCAGGCCAAGCTACAACTCCCCGGGTGTGACTGTCAGAGCATGCATGAAAACAAAATGGATTCATTTTATAAGATGTAACTTACTTTAAAAGTTTATCTACTCTGTAAATTGTGCTTTAATCACACACAAGAAGCTCAGACTATTAACAGAGCATGAGATGAGAAATTCTAAATTAACCAGACTGTGCAATAAAGGAAGTTTGAACATTAGATCTCTCTTCACAGAAGGTGTTTAAGAAGGCTGTGTAAGTCAGATGGAATTTTCCAGTTTCTAGCTATAGAAATTTTTACAGCAAATAAAATCTGTGTGATAAGTTTCTTATGGTCTTTAGTATGGAATAGAAGGTCCATATTTAATATGAAGGTCTGGGAAGAGATGTAATTAATGGTGTCAAATATATCACTTAGGAGTGCTAAGAGATGTTATGTTTTTTTGTTTGTTTTTTGCTTAAAAGAGTACTGTGAAGAATCTACTCTTTGTGTTCAGTAATTTAGATTTTTCTTCGTTCGGTAGATAAAACTACCGAACACTGATCACCACCCGGCTCATTAACTACAAAGAAGACCGCAGATTAAGTGCTCTCTCTCTGTGTGGCCGCTGTTCGTATAGCCGAACGCCACGTGCGGGAGAAAACGGTGGCCATGTTGTCATCCATGAGCCAGGGGAACCGTTCGTGAATTTGTTTTGTTTTTAGACTTCCTGGAAGAGACCAACCGCACAGCCTAATTTCATGGAACTCTTTCTGGGCAGGAGCATCGTGTGCGGCCGGTCAAATTAAGACTTCCATCGAACCCCCGAGCCGATTGGATGATTTTTTTAATGTTTGTTGGTCTCCCAGATCAGGGCTATCAGGGGATGACTTTTGTGGGGTTTCCATTAGGTTTGGGGTACTTTCGGGGTTTTGTGGAAATCTGTGGGGGGAAGGGGTTTGTTTGCAGATAATGGAGTTTAGTATAGTGCTTGACTCAATTATCTCCCAGGCACAGGGGAAGGATTATGTTTTATGTAGGAGTGTCCTGGACCTGAGAGCCAATGTAACTGCAGGATGTACTTTGTCACTGTCCCCTCTCAGGACCATTGCATGCCCGTGGAATATGTCACGTAAACCTCATACATTTGTAACTGCATATAAATCGGCCAGTTACATAGTTACATAACTGAAAAGAGACTTGCGTCCATCAAGTTAAGCCTTCCTCACATATGTTTTTGCTGTTGATCCAAAAGAAGGCAAAAAAATCCAGTCTGAAGTGCTTCCAATTTTGCAACAAACTAGGAAAAAATTCCTTCTTGACCGAAAAATAGCAGTCACTAATTAGAAATATCCCTATATGTTATGTTTTTTTGCAAGTATTTATCCAATTGCTGTTTAAACATCTGTATGGACTCTGATAAAACCACCTCTTCAGGCAGAGATTTCCATATCCTTATTGCTCTTACTGTAAAAAACCTTTACTTTGCCTTAGATGAAATATCCTTTCTTCCAGACTAAATGTGACCTTGTGTCCTATGTATAGCCCTGTTTATGAATAGATTTCCAGATAATGGTTTGTACTGGACCCGAATATATTTGCATAAGATTTAATTTGTTTTATCTTTCTTTGTACCTAAAATGCTCCATTCCTTTTATCAATTTTGTTGCTCGTCTCTGCACTTTTTCTCGTGCCACTTCAGTTGGCCTGAATAAATGTATTCCTGTTGTACCCTTTGTCTAGTCTAGGCTGATGTTTGGGTATCCGTCTGTTTTGCTTGGTGAATTTACTTGGCTGCTGGAGTTCCGTCTGGAGGTCGTTGGAATCAACACCCAACCTGCGAGCTATAATCACTGTATACTCTCATACCATTGTGCAATTGAATTATTTTTATTTTTTTTTACCAACAAAGTTCTCCCATTTCAAAAGTGCTTACGTTTTATCGTTTAGAACGGTTTCGATAAGAATTTTAGATATTTTGGAGTTCTGTCTATTTCATAAGTCACAAGTTATTAGGTCAGAGATCTGATGTGATATTGGTATTTGTTTTTTAATTACATAATTTTTGACTCTCAAATAGGTAAATAGTTCTCTAGAAGGTAAACCAAATTTTTTGGGGAGAAAGGAAAAAGGCAATATATTGTCTTGTTCCCATGTATCAGATATGGTGACTATTCCATATGTTAACCAGTTTGATAGATTTAGATCTCTATCTCATACTTAAGTTACATTTGGAGTATTAATTAATGCAGTCCTTAAGGCTTAATTTGTTTTTAAGAGTAGGCAAAATATTGTGAAGAATTGGATTTTTAGATCTAAAATGTAATGCTTGTATCATGTAGAGCAAAAATATATTTGAAGTGATCTAAAGCTATAGTTCCTTATTTTCCACCTCAGTCCAAGATGTATTAAGGGTTTTAGGACTCACCCATTGTAATGCGTGAAATACCATGCTAGAATTATGCAGTTTCAAAATGTCTGGATAGGCTACACTTCCATGGTTTGTGATATTCTAGATCTACTATCTTGCCAAATGTAGGAAGAAAAACATCTTTGAAATGGAAATAGAATCTTAGAATTTAGTCTTAAAGGGATAACCTTCAATAGGTATTGTATCTTGGGGATTATATATGCATTTATTACATTGATTCAGCCTAGCCAAGACACCTCCATATTTTTCCAATTCTTTAATGCTTCTGTTATTTCTTTAAAATATTCATTGTAAATAATTTCAACAATTTCAGTCAAGTCAAATCAAATCACAGTTTTAGGACCAGATAATCGATAATTGTTCTACTCCAATCAAATTGATACAGATTTTTAAGCCTATCCAAGACATTAGAGGATAAATTAGCTGTCAAAATGTGAGTCTTACCTAAATTAATCTTATAATTAGAATAATGAGCGAATATATCTACGGTTTTCAGTGTCGCTGGGATTTATGGCTCCGGTTTAGTTCGTCAATAAGACATCATCCACATACAGTGTAGATTTTGTGATTTTCACGACTGACTTGAATGCTGTGAATCTCAATATTATTTCTAATCATTACTGCCAGAGGCTCAATTGACAGAACATAGAATAGGGGCAGTGGACATCCGTGTCTGGTTTCATTTTTTTTTATTGGAAACCAGTCAGAAATAAGTAGAGGTCAAATTACTCTTGCATAGGGATTAGAGTATAATAGCATTGTATTTTGTTTAAATGAGCCCATGATTCCAAATTTTATTAGGACCAAATATAAGAAATTCCATATGATTGTATTTTAATGCCTTTTTGGCATCTTTTTGTGACTAAGTGGCTACAAAAAAAAATGGACATACCCCATTTGTAATACCTTGGAGTGTCTACTTTTGCAAATGGTATGCTATCATGGGCGTAATTCTCATTCCTAGGCTACCATATGGTCTCAAAGGCAACGTAACCAGTTTGGTAAATTCCAATGTGTATAAACTGAAAATTGTAATGTGCTATATCTGACCCTGTAACTTTCCAAAACACAATAAAACCTGTACCTGGGGGGTACTGTTTTACTTGTGCGACATCACTGAATACAAATATGTGAACTTTGTTGCAGTAACAACTAACAGTATTATGACACTCACAGTTAAAATGCCATGCAGGGGAGCGTGGCCTAGACTCCAGCGCAGATGGTCACATGAAAGCTGAGCTCCGCAAGTAACTGAATGTAAATGACAAAACCCGGTAGAAAAAAAAAAACAGCGAAATGCAGCAGGGACACCTGCCACCAACTCGGCCTCTTCTAAATCATCTCTATGGAGATTTTTCTCCGTGCAAACTGAGTCGGTGCAGAGCGGCAAAATGGCGCCTCAGTCCGGTACACGTGGCCACCGATCAACAAGCCTGTTGACTTCTAAGTGCTCCATTGAGGACACTGACTTACGGGCCCTAATCCCACAACTTCCATCCAAGGCAGACATTGCTGCTATATACCAGAGATTGGAGGAGAGCTTTGGGAAGTCGTCAGCACCTCCGTTCAACACCTGGGTGACAGAGTACAGGCCCTGGAGGATGATTGCAACACAGCAGAACAGCAATGGTCTGAATGCCACACCACTCCAAAGCTACATGCGGAGGCTATATTGTACTTACAAAGGAGGCTGGAGGATGTAGACAACAGAGGACAGCGGAACAATTTGCGCGTGAGGGGCATTCCGGAAAGCCCGGAGGGAACCACCGAGGACCCCATGAAGGTACTAACTAGATCCTCTCTATGCCTCTGGACAGTTTGACAGGGCCCACAGAGCAAGCAGGCATAGAAACCTTCCACAAGATAAACCTTGCAACCTTATGTCGTATTCATAACTTCCCATTGAAGGAAGAGATCTTCCGGAGGGCCTGTTAAACCGGTGAATTGCAATATGAGGGCCATAGAGTACCAGGAACTCAGGAACTCTCCCCTGCAACGCTTCTAGCCAGGAGAGCACTCCGGCATATCACTCAAATCCTACTGGACAAACCTATAAAATTCTGTTGGACTTTCCCTTTCGCCCTGGTGGTGATGCAGCAAGGCAAGAACTATTCTATCAGCAATCCAACGGAGGTACCGGACTTCCTGCAGGCCTTGGGCCCTCCACCTTCTGACATAGAGGATTGGTCCAGACTATCTGGACAGTCTCTCAAGCAACTACCTCAAAGAACCAGGTGGCAAAGAACCCCAAAGAAACGCAGAAGACAAGTCCCACATGGTGCCGAACACCACTCTACACCTAGAGACAAGGTCGCCTGAGGACTTACTTAAGGATGGAAGAATATATCCTTTGCGCTAATTTAACCCACGAAATGAGGTACCCTCAGGTCGCCAGTGTTTTACTATGTGATGCCAATGATTTCTTAGTTTATATTAGTTTTATTTGCATACGCCGGACCTATCTGGCCACAGAAAAAGTTGATATTCAGATCTGAAAAATTTAAGGTTTACAGGAGCCTCTGCTCCGGGTGCAGTTCATGCGGTAGGGGTCGCGCACGTATCTGTGGTGTGGGTGCGATCTGTGGCGCTACCAATGCATCTGAAGCAATTATTCAGTTCCCCTTATGGTAACTAGGTCCCCTACCCCTCGAGAGGTGCCCCACAACTACTTGTGGATACAACCATGTCTCCTACAGGTTTGGCACCATTCTCTCTGTCAGTAGGAGTAATTTAGATCATACTTATGTATATAGTTTTTGTTCTTCGCCTACAACTTTTTCTTATGCTCCCTTATTACCACTCTTCCACATCCCAACTATCATGGTGTTGGAAACGGGGCCTTCAATATAGCAGAAACTCTATCACAAGCCAAATATGGTCCAGGTTAACCTACTGTCATTAAATGTGAGAGGCCTCAATACTCCAGAAACGTGTTCCATGTTGACATAGGAATTAGACAGGTAAAAAGCTGATATTACGTTTATCCAAGAGACCTACCATAAGGAAAAATTTAAACCTAGACTCAGATCCAAATATATTCACTGTAACGGACCGTTTTGCACACAAGAGGTTAAAAATCGTTTAGGCGATATTCCCCTTCCCAGATGCACAGACAGCTACTGCAATCACCAATCTCCCGAACTGCAAACTAGACGAATTCTCCAACTCCTGAACAGGAAACTCACGAATACTGGAAACAGCTGAACAGGAAAAACCATACGAAAGGTTTACACTCCTGGCAGTCAGCATACAATCCAATTCCCCCAATAACGAGACGACACTTCGTTTGAGGGTTAAGCAGAATCAGCCAGAGCTGTGGGTTTATTGTTCTTATGTACACATTCTTACACATTAGTACCACCCACAGGGTTTTGGAAAACAACCAATAAACATGTACAATACACTTACACTCCCACACAAAATCCTCCCCTCTCCCTGTGGTACAATTACCTTACACAATGGGTAATGTAATTATCACAGCCAGAGAAACACAGTTTTTCCACATTATTCATAACTTGAAAAGTATGCATCACATTCACACTTACATTTTCAGAATCGGCATACTCCAATTACAAACATATGTCAAAATCATCCAAATTGGTGTGAAGCTCAAAAGATAGATCGAAGTCCTTTGTGACCAAATGAAGCATGGCTTTTCTGCCCAAAACCAGTTCTACAGAGTCTTC